AAGAGTGGACTGGTTTTCTTAACTACCAACTAAAACCTCTCCCAGTGACATGCTAAGATATTTGGAACCGATTTTTCCTTATCAATGGAGGATGAACAAAATATAACCGTCAGCACCACTTGAACTAATCTCCAACTTTTTCTGTAATGTCAGAAAAAGTTCTTGAAGCAGCACTCTTTCAGCAGAGAAAACAAGAGAGAATAGTAAAAGAATGTAAACCAATCTTTGGTGGGCTACATGAATAAAGCTTAAATGAGGTTTTTCAAGTTCAAACATCTCCTGTACAGATAATTACAAAAACATTTCAGATAGATGCTTGTGGATGAGAAGAACCAGTCAATGGAATGGTCATGCAGCTGAAAACACGTTTTGGGGGGGGGGGGGGGGGGGGTTTGGGTTTTTTTCTTTTAATGGACAAAGTTCCAAAATGTCATGCATGTCTGCTTCCCCAAACAAAAATTGAATGACCAAATAAAAAGCAAAACAAGTGACCGTTTCCAGTGAGTACAAAGCATTGTCATTTCCCTGAGGTTTCATCAAGCAAATATGGCATTTTTTGAAAGACAAAAAGATCAAGGTTGAAGAGTAAAGGAAACTATACTTTTGAATAAAATGAAAGAGATATATGACAAGAAGAAAGGAAAACAATTTTTAAGTAAACCAAGTAAAGAAATTATTTTAATCCCTTAAAAAAAAAACAAAAAACCCTCTTCTGTTGTCAAAACACTTATATTCTGGGATCTCCCTGGTGGCCCAGTGGTTAACACGCCGAGCTTCCACTGCAGGGGGCACAGGTTCGATCCCTGGTTGGGGAACTAAGATCCCAACATGCTGCACAGTGCAGCCAAAAGAAAAAGAACTTACATTCCCCTATGTTCTCTGAATAACTAGAAAATTAAATTTTGTCTTCTTGATTGTACAATTATACTTACAAGAAACGGTATGTACAAATTTCTGATTTAGCACTGAACACGTATTTCAGCAAGTATTAAAACTGTCCAGTACTGCCTCAAGTTCACAGTACTTTAAAAATACCCAGCCTCAGGCTGGGACTGGGGATAGAGGTTACAGAGTGCCACTTTTACAGGGGGTGGAATTGGTACGTGAAAACAAGCTTGCCCAAATGTCCATACTCAAACGTCAATGAAGAATGAATCACTGGCTCACAATGTGCACACAAGGGCCCACAAGGGCACAAATCTTAGAAATATAACTTCTAGAGAGAAGGCTCTGATGAAGTTATATCATTAACCTGGCAATAAATAATATAAGGGATACATGAGCAACTCAAGGCACTCAATCGGAAAAATCCTCAGTATTGCATGATTTAAACCCATGGGGCTGAGTCATCAATTTACAGAGAAGAGGTGGATCTGTTCTATCAAGGTCATGTCCAAAGGTACAGAGGCAGATGAACTAGGCAGAACACCTCGGAAGGTAAAAAACAAATTATCCCAAGACTAGGTAGCCACAAGTATTTCCCAAGAGATCTGTGGGTCAGAACTGAAGGAGTGACAACAAGAAATAATAACAAAGAACTGTTATTTTACAACAAAAACAAAACCGACCGAGACTGTTGCCATGACAAAGAGCCAGAGGAAAAGCTGTTAACTGATAATATTAAAAGTGTTGCAAGATTTGTAAGAATGTGAAAAAAAGTGGAGATTGAGCAAGAAAGTCAACACGTGGGAATATCTGGAAAACCTAAGGGCTGGTACGGACCTAAGCATCCTTTAAGGAGGGCATTGACCCCAAAAGCAGAACTTGATTGAATGAATTTAAATTACAGCAACCGTCTGGGGAAGAACATGTTACAAATGTGAAGGAACTCTGGGAGAAGCCATCATGGGAGGTGGCAGTACAGTCTACTCCTTCAGACCTGTAAAAGGGGACAGGCCAGCAGACCCAAGTGGATTAAGCAGGGCGCCAGGGGCCAGGAAGCGCATAGTTCCTCCACACCCTGTGCCATTTTATACGGGCTCCTGTGCAAACTAAAAGTTGGGTGGGAATTTCAGGGGGGAAATCCCTATGTTCTCCAGTTCAATATAAGTCTTGCCCTGAAAATAAATTTTACTAGGTCTCTAATAATTCAGTAATAAAACTGAAGACCATTTCATTATTTGAAAGTAAGTACTTTATTCCTTGCTATGTACAGAATAATCTATGGGGCAGTGGAGGATACTCTTCCAAACGTTGATCCTTTTGTTTAAAAAGATAAGCGCATCAAATATACTTAAGTAAAACAAAAGAGCTCTAATTTTTCTTTCCTTTTAGATTTGAGAACTTTCTGTCTGCCCCTAGTAATAAAAGAAAGTACCCTACAGTGTTTTTCAAATCACCAAATCGGCGACGATGATGGTGGCGATCTACCGTGAGCTATAGTTCCTACTGTTTTAACTCACTGAGAGAAGAAACATCTCTTTTAAGGGCAAAACTTCCTTCTGTTTTGAATCAGCTTCCTTGAGGCCAAGTGACATGATGGCTGCGACCCAAGACAGCCACTTCTAGAAGGAGGCCAGACCCCACCCCTGTACTCTTGAGAGCCCTTCTCTGGATCAGCTTCAATGTTTAGTTTTAAATTAAAACTCAAACAGCTTCAACTGGCAAGAGGACAAATGGGAAAGAGGGAGAAGCCATTCCTCAAGGAAAGCGGGGGTAGGAATGGAGGTGATGGAGGGGCAGACCATGAGAAGAGCGGGAAGGACGCCAGGCTGCACGCGAGAAAGGCCATAATGCTTGACTGCACATCACAGAAATGACAAGGCCGTCCCCATGACCGTCTTTGTGACTCACGGACTTCTGGTGGATTCTCAAGAGAACCCTTTTGGTACAGCGGTCCACCGTGGCGGCCCACTTCCTCCTGGTCTCTTCCTCCTCCAGCAAGCACCGTCTCAGGTCCTGCTTCTCGGCCTTGCTCAGGGTCCTGTCTGAGGCAGGACGCACTAGCTGGGTCAGGTTCAGGTGGCTGTACAGGCTGCGCTCCACCACGTACGTGACATTGAACTCGCTGACGGAGGGGCGCCCGCGCACCCTCCTGCCGGGGCCGCCACAGACCCCGCCCCCTTTGGGTTTCTGCCGGAGCAGCTGCAGGTCGCAGGTGGTGCTGTTGATGCCTTTTCTACAGGGGCGCTGGCAGAGGAAAGCTCTAGAACAGGAATAATTAGTATCCGTTTTCTTCAAGCGGATCTGCTTCCGGACGCTCTGAACCTCCTCTAGGGACACTAGGAGGTGGTGCCGGCGACGGTGGCTGTCGTAGAAGCAAACACCATCGGTACTTACCCCGTGGCTCAGGGACCCGAGACCCTTCTTCATCTCCCCCTCGGTGAGGGAGCGGGACACCTTCTGGGCCTTGTCGTCTTCTGGGTAGGAGAAGAAAGTCCCCATCTTCTTGGGGGGCTTGATCAGGCCCCGGCTCTCTCCTTTGCTGAAGGTTTTGACCAGCTTCCGGCCGGCACCCCAGGTGTCCAGGCTGCTGGATGATGGAGAAGTGGTGAGAGAGTCTGAATCATCTTCTGGAGGTTTCTCAGGAGAGGCATCAAAGAAAAATGGCTTCTTGTGCACTCCAGAGTACAGGGCGGACCTTTCATCCGGGACCGGGGAATTCTCAAACACCTGTTCCTCCCCGCCTGGAGGGAATCAACACAGACACAGTCACGGGCTCCTGTCAACAAACCTTTGCGTTCTCTCACAGATGTGTCTTTAGACCCCCAACCCTGCAAAAAATAAGCTAAACCATGCAGCGACCACAGTGATGCCCCTTCCCACAATCACTTACCCTCCATAAACCCAGCTCCTGCTTAAATAAATGCATATAAAAAAGAAAATAAACTGAGCAAATAATGGTTTCACACAGACTTAATGTTAAAAGGTTTCAGATGCGATTTCTCCTCCTCCTCTCAATATCTTTGTAGACCAAACACCTTAACAGACCTATTAAAAATGGCATTTGGACACTCTAAGCCCATCCATAACACAATATTCCTTAGCATTTAATGATAATCATCCTTCCCAGTTTGCAAGTGCAATCCTCAGAAGCTAGGAATCAGAATCGTTCTCCCTTCTGAAAGGCTCTCCTGTTGACTCTGGTTGGCTTTTTATAGTCAGAGTGTGATGAATGCCATGTGGCTGACAGTGATTTTTTTTTTACTGATACATATGCCATTTAAGTAATTAAGTAATTAAGGGAGAAGTTTGGGTGAGGAAACGCCATAACGGGTCGTAGATTGCAAATGCAACAGACAAACGGTCCCCACTTGATAAGCCAAACACAAAAAGTTGCAGAGCTGGGTGATCCAAGACAGACATTCCCATCAACGCAGGCCCTGCTGCAAAGCAGCAAGGGCATTTAAGGGCCTGGACACGCAAGCAGCCCCATGGAGTGTTCCATTTCTTCTCAAGGATTCCAGCTCTTCAAGCCATCACTGGAGCCAGGTATCCAGCCAAGACTTCCAGAGCCCAGTGGAAAGGTTTGGACTTGCTGGCAGGAAAATTGAGTTCTTTTCTGCATGTGTTATGTGAACATCTGTGAGAAAAGAAGTAGGTCAAACTCTGGGTGTAGTGATCCTAACTGGCTGTGTCCCTTTAATTATAAGGAAACATTTGAGCACTGCAGCTTTCTGCCAGCTGAATTGTGAAGGGGAAAAAGCACCAAGTTCCTTGGAACAGACGGATGGCACTAAATACACCACCTGGGATGAGGGTCCCAGTGTGTGGTTAAACGTCAAAGATAAAGGGAGAGGATGGCTCGCTCCAGAGGGGGAAAAGATGAGTGACTGGTAGCAGGCCTTTAAAATTCCAGAAGTTTCTTAGTTTTCCAACTGATGGGAATTACAGTTACAAATATAAAAAGGACTGCTGCTGTTAAATACAACCCAAGGTTGACTTTGATGTCAAGGAGATGGTGGTGGGGAGGGAGATTCAAAATTATATCTGGTCCAAAGTTCTCCATCATCTGCAGCACAAATATATTCACTCAAGAATTATTCCCGGATCTTTCAAGGGAGTTTAAAAGCAGGGTCTGTGGTTCTGATGAATACTGGCCGGACCAGAAGCAGTGTGCACACATTGTGAATGTCTCCCGCTCCTTCCTCAGGACACCTAATATGGACTGGAGACCAAGGGTCCTTACGTTACTGGAAGTAAAAATGGTAACCTCTTCCGGATACAGTCTACCCGCCACTTCCAGGGATGAAGTGATGGGGCTGAGAGGCATAGCCTGGTGGCAGGGGCAGCCCAACAGAGGACTGTCCTCTAAAGGTAGTCCAGTCACAGATCATGCCTTCATATTTAGCCCAGGTGTCCACAGAGGTGTGCAAAGGCCCTTATTTACACATAGTCTTAAGGGGCCTTGGGGAAGTTAAGGACCTGTCACTCAGCAGTGGTCTGGAAATTTTCTGGATTCTATATTTGGCGCTGTCATCAGAGATTCCAATACTTCGGTGTCACATTTGGGTTTGGGACCAGCTGGTTCACACATGCCCGTGATGTATGTAGCTCTACTTCCTGGTTCTGGCACGTCGGCATCTGGTAAAGAGTTTGGAGGGAAACGTGGCAAGATGCTTCCAAAGAGGCCACCTTAGCCTGTGCTGAGAGCAGAGTCCTCATGTGGTACAGGTTCTTCTGCCTGTGCCAGACCCAAGGGCTGAAATCCCAGCCCGGACTGGATTCCTTGGGTTTAGAGCATCACTTCTCCCATTCACCTCTGACTTGAAAGTACAAGTGTCAAGTCAAAAGTACGACAATCAAGATGCGCTCATTCCATCGTCATTTGGCGTGTGATTTGCTTCTTGCTCAGCTGAGATCAGAATACGGAAGGAAAGGTGATTCTGACAAGAGGAAGGAGTCAGGAGACAGGATGGCTGAATGCCAAGAACACAGATTTATGCCCTAGATTCCAGCCCTGGCTCTGCTACTCACCGCCTCCATGACTGTGGGCAATTATTTCATCTCTCCGAGTCTGTTTCCTCACCTGTAATAATGCCTACCTATTTTATTTTATTTTATTTTACTTATTCTTTTGGCCGTGCCATGAGGCTTGTGGGATCTTAGTTCCCCGACCAGGTATTGAACTCAAGCCACAGCAGTGAAAGCACCACTGGACAGTCAGGGAATTCCCACTGCCTACCTGTTTTATTAGTATCTATTATAAGGTCATTGAGAGGATAAAATTAAATGAAAAGAGATACGTGAAGGTACTTCATAAGCTGAAAAGCACTGTACAAAAGCTAATGATTCATTAGCAGGTTACAGATGAACTGGAGAAATGAGGGAAGAGACTGGGTGGGTATCAGCTTTGGGTAGAAGACACAGAAATGGCTGGATGAAGGGCACTGCCCTGGCCTACAAGTTCATGTTGTCTAAGGTCATGCACGCCCCAGATAAGGACTTGCAACTCAACTCACAAGGGTAAGACTGGGTGATAGATTGTAACTCTCCTGGCTTTTCCAAGGCTCCAGAGCTGGGGGGTGAGAGATGGGGTGGGAGCAGAGTACAGACCCAGGAGGTAGAGGGGTCAGGCTGCTCAGACGTTAACTCCGGGTCTCCGGCCAGCTGGCTCGGTGACCATGAGTAAATTACTTCCCCTCTTTGTGTCTGTCGGAGTTTCTTTATTTGTGAAATGAGGGTAGTATTAGTGCCTGCCTCTGGTGGCTATTCTGAAGATGACATATTAACAGGAACATAAAATCTAAAGTGTTTAGGAAAGTGGCTGGCACACAGAAGGCTCTCCGTAAATGCTCATTATTATTCAGACAACTTAGTATTGGCACAGGCATGAGGGAAGTCAAAAGGATCAGCTCTTTGAAGGCGCAGGGGCAGGAGGAGGGGTTATTGGGAGTATGAATCTCTCCAGCTTTGCAAAGCAGGTGCCAAGGTGGCCTCTCTGTACCAGCATCAGTTCTGTTGCTACCGAGGAACCGCAGAATGTCCTACCATGCAAGGGATGGAGGCATTCTCACCTAGCACGGTGCTGGGTGCAGCCTGCAGTGGATGACCTCAGCTGCACACACACCTGGGGCCTCTCCTGGTGACAATGGCAAGCCTGGTCAATAGCACCCCAGCTCCCCAGACACCAGACGTGTCACTGGGGACTCAAACTCACTAAATCCCTCTTCCGTCTATGACACCTAATTCATATTAAGATGAATCAAAGTTCAGAGCTAAAAGTCCATATAGTTATTACTTTTTACCCTACAGCTGCCTCTTTTGGTGTATCTCCCCATTTTGTCAACTATGTCTCTCAGAGACAGTTGAATCGATTTATTCTGACATAAATATACAAATGAGAACATTTCTGCATTTTTATGAGTGTTATTCTAGTGGAAAGGCTGCCCCAACACATATGACTATCACATACGAAGGGGCTCCTGGGTGGTAGGCCCAGGACCAGGTACTTCTCCCATTTATCTCATTTATGGACAGGACCCACCAATCTATGCATGATATATGAGATTTAATTTTGGCAAGCATGCATGAGGTTTGCTTTAAAAATGCAACGCGCCCGAGGTTGAATGATGGCTCTTCCATATGGTTCTACTTAATATTACCAAACGACACTGTGTGTGATTTCAGTAAGAGCTGCCACGGGGAGAGGAAGTCAGGCTATATTCTGTCCTGTGAAATCATGACAGACAGGCAGGTATTAAAACAGCCAAATGTAAACCAACATTGCACCCGGAATTACCATGCAAAAGACACCCAGATGAAACCCTGGAACTAAACACAACTCTAAGTTTATGAAACTGGCCGTGTAGCAGATAGAGTCTCTCTCTCCCTCTGTCTCTCCCTCTGTTTCTCTGTCTCTCTCCTCTTTTCTTTTCCCTTTTTTATCTCCACTTTCCCACAGTTACCCCCTCACCTTCAGTATTCCTCCAGGGGATTTAAACTGATAATTACATCAAACAAAAATTTTAAGAACAGCAGTAGTAACAACAAGAAACCCTCATCTATTTAAATAAAGGGGAATTCAGTTCCCTCCAAGGTTTAATTTATGTACAACAAAAAAGCCTCTATAATGATATTTTTTAAACCTACATGTTAAAACTTTAAACTGCCTCGCAATGTAGATGTGACACTTCAACGAGTAGTGTGTGCTTTAAAAAAAAAAAAAAATCTTTCCATTACTTCCTTCAATTCACTAATTGTTTTCCAAACAGGAAATCTTACTCTTTTATTGTAACTTTTTGGAAGAATTTTACAAGATGCTGCAAACACACTTTACTAACAATAAGAAAGATGGACACGGTTGAGATTCAAACTGTCATAATTGCACTTCAAAGGTTAACTATTCATTGCAATAAATCCAAGCTCATGCCCCTTTTGACGTTATTGCTTCCTCTGACAAGTGGCTTGCAGCCAGGGATCTAGCTCTTAAGGATCCACGTAGAATGCGAGGTCCTTAAAGCCTCATTGGAACTGAGACTTGAGACTGTTTACAGGAAGAACAAATCATCCCTCAGAGATCTGAAAGGACATTAAGTGCCTCGTTTGTTAGATGTTTGAGATGGAGGTATATTAAATTTGGACTAAATTCACAGGGTTAGAACCACCATCCTTTTGGGAGCAGAGGCTTACACTCAGAAGGTGATATAAAATAAAGTTTATATAAAATGGTATAAGGTCAAAATGAAAGCCGTACCACATCTTGAGAAGATTTCATTGTCATACACTAGCCATTTCCCCTCTTTGTAATGCTTAAATAACTAAGCCCCTGGAATGCTGGACGCCAGGATCCTTCATCCCAGAAGGTACTGAGCGTTGCCCTGCTCACCTGCAGACCCGAATTCTCCCTCCGCCAGCCTCAGCCAGAACTCAACCCATTTTCTACTTTCATATTTTCTACTGATAGACGGACCCCAAATGATTTACTGTGGAATAAGCAGGGTAGAGTTTGCTTTTTTACCTTCAGTGCTGGGCTTTTTCATTTCTTCCACCCTGATTAGTTTCTTTCTCACTCTGCGAGTGGAGTTTACCAGCTTGTGTAACCTCTTAAACTTCACCGACTCTTCAGTCTCATCATCCGACTGTTCTCTTGACTGGCAAAGAAACAAAGGAAAAGTTAATCAGATAATTGCCCGATGCAGCTCCGCCTCACTGCCAGTCTGAACTCTGGCACTTCTGCGGCTGAACTTGGGACACTAACAAAGCTGCCCAAAAGGTTCTTGGAGCAACACGTATCATCATCTTAAGGTCTAATTTGGTGGAGAATTAGGTCCTAGGCACCACAACACACACCGATGCCCTGGCCCGGCATGTGGTGCATTTGTCTCAATGAATTCCAGGTCTCTTTCAGAGAACTCGGGCAGGATGCTCTCCTAGGCCGGCCCTGTAATTCCAGTTACACTGCTGTGGTTTGGGCCAGGCTCTCTGTCTGGCCCATCAGGACTTGCTCTTTAACGTGGTCATCGACTACTTATCCAAACCCAAATTCTGTTGACTTGTTCCAGTCCTCCCCGAAAATCAAAAACAGCGGGGCAGGAAAACGGAAGAGATGCAGAAAGCCATCTTCGGTCCCATTTGTGAGGACCGTCTGCCACATCTCAGCCATCCCTCCTTTGGCCTCTCCCAGCTCCTTCTGAGAGCTCACAGGCGAGCATGGGGACAGGCCCTGCATTCCTCCACGAGGGACAAGGGAAAAAGCTGACCTTTGCAGCCATACAGTCCTGTCCATATTCCCCAGCATCCCATTTCGTTCTGCAGTGATTCAAGTATGCTCAGTCCAGCTGTTTTCCCTCAAGTATCAAACATTACAGAGAGAGAGAAAAAAAAAGTCTCTCTGCAGCAGTGACCCAAGCGAAAAACAATCCTTTCCTTGTGAACAAAATGCGGGTCTCGTTTCCAAGTTAGCTTCAACATTCAACATGCAGCTTCCTCTGTTTTATCTGTTCAAAATGTGAAACAGGGTCTCCAACTCAGTGGATGTGCTGCCCGGGCCTGGCACACAGGTATCCCCGGGAGCGCAGAGCCCGGTGGAAGTGCGCAGCATCCGCAGAGCCCAGGCCGCTCGGAGCTGCTCCAGTTCACCCCGCGCATCCTGCCAACAGCCTTCTCTCCATCTCCTCCAACCTAGTTCACTGACAGAGTCCGGAGAGAAATGCCTCCAACCAAAAACAAACCACATCTCTGAACACGAGCCTAATAAGGAGAACTCCCCCCTCCAAGAAATACTCTCGTTAATCCCAATTTTATAGAAACTAAATAGGTAAACAAGAGTTAGCAGGGAACAGTTCAAGAGGAAATGAGGTAGGGATTATATTAATTACTTAGGCAGAAAAAAATAGTGCCTGCTGTGAGTCCACAAGTATCTCTGTAGCATTCTGGCCCTGCGTAAGGGAGATACGACCCATATCATGGCCTCTGTCCTCGCCCTGGAGTTCCCAGCACTGGAGCCATTGTACTTTCTCACTGCAAAATTATAAGCAAACCATTAACTCGCTAAAGAATAATTATTACAACCCATGAATGGCCAGTCATAGGGACAGGGGTATTTCTCAGGCTTCCCTTCTGTGAAGTATGTCAATGTCCAATTTCTTTAAAGGTCCTATAAAATATTGGTAAAATACTGCATACACATTTCAGAATTAAGGTTAACTGCTGGTTACCCGGTAGTGAAGAGCAGAAATCACACCCAGATAATAGGGGAAGGAGGATACATTGCAAGCTGGCAATCAGGCTTAAGACATTTGGTCTAAATCTTAAAATGTAACAAATTAAAATAATAAGTACAGCTTCTACTACATAATGGCAATTGTCTGATTTGAATTTTACTTTTTCTTGGATGAATTGTTGGTTTGCGATGGAATGGTCAGAGTGGTCAACCAGAGGAATGAGAACTTGGTTAGCCCTCATTCTGGGTAATCAGCACCTGAACAAAACCACAGTGCATGGAATTACACATAAACACTGAAAAACATTCTGCCTTCTTGATGTATCTCAAAAGTCAAGTCAAGTACTTCTAATAGAAGAGTCAACACTTGATTACAGAAAGCTTCTGTACCTACAAATCTAAACCATCTATAAACCTCTCGTTAAAAACTTCTGAAGTCAAGTGAAAATGAAATAAGCACAGGCTGTTCATAAATAAGTTCCAGGAAGCTGCATCACAGGATGAAGATCACTCATACCTAGCCTGGGGGTTGCTGGTGGTGGTGTGCATGGGGGCTGGGGGGAAGTAAAAAGAGAAATGGGACCTGGAAAGGAGTAATACAAAAATCTTGAGTCCACGAAGACACAAATCACTTGTAGGAAACAGACCACTGGAAGGAGCTTTTCAGGGAGAAATCAAAACAGTTCAACCAGGACAACAGATTTAAAGGCAATGACCTCCCCTACCCCACCCCATGCCCCACCAGTCCTACTTTCCTCTGCCACAGATTCACTGGGGCGAAAAAGAACATATTCCAGGTACTTATTTAATTGCTTTCACATGTTCCATCTCTTTTTGAGGAACAAGAACTCTTTAGAACTTTGAATTAGTATTATTTTTCTTTTTCTTTAAAAAAACTAAAAGTCTGGAGGTGTTTGCCACTGACAAATCACAAATCATAGCAACCAATAACTTTCTTTGCATTAGCATGTTTTTGAACACTAGATGAGGCAGGTGCAGCACAATTTATATGAAGAGACATGTAGGATAAAAAAAGTCATTCAAGATATATATATATATATATATATATATATATCTTATTATTATCATTTTAAAAATAGAAAATCTCCTCTTAAGTGAGCCCGGAAGTCACTGGAGGTAGTTGAACAGTGTATCCCAAGGATGCTTTTTATTGAGAGAGGTGTTGACTTCTCACTTCCTTCTGAGTCCAGAGGAAAAAGAGTTGTGAAATATTTGCCTTTAAAAAATTCTCTCCAGCTGTTTCAACATAAAGACTGCGTAAACGGCATGCAGTTTTCTTTTAAACTAGGGAGTAAAGCTTAAATTCCTCATTTCACGTCTCTCCTTTTAAATAAGCATGTGCCACTTCCCAAATGCTGAAGAAAAGACTTGTCTTTTTATTCAGAAAATACATCCCCCCCCCAGAGATATATGTGTGAGATGGGGGTGCGAGAATTTTTTAAAATTAAGAAACAGACATGGGTATACAAAGGAAACCCCCACACCTAGAGGACCTTCGTAGAAGACGAGGGAAACCTGCAATGTATATAAAATGAATGATTGATTCCAAGAAATAGACTCAGAGTTATTATAAAACAGGTTTTAAATAAACTACAGTGAAAAAAATAACAGTGTATGTTTATATACGTTCAAACACAAGATGGTATCTCTTCCCCTCCCTGTCCTAGCCCAGGTCAGAGTGCTAAGAAAAACTTTAGTTTGACCAGCTTCTAAATTAGAAGGTGAAAACTCAATCATCTGTATAAAACCCCCACCTCCAAACCTGTAGTAGAAAAGGCAACTGATTTACCCCACCAAAGGATGTGGATTTACAATACTGTAAATAGAAACATTTAATTTCCAGCCTCTCTATTGCATATTTTTCCACCAGAAGGCCCATATGGCTCAACTTTTAATTACTTTGGCTAATGCTATATGTAGTAATTCTGTGGTGAATGCTTAAGTGTTTCATTTCTGGTTTCCATGGCAACATTACATCAGATTGCAGACAGCTGGCTCCACAGTTTTAAACCATAACAAATTGACCAAGCCAAGGCACAAAACTATAGCTGCTTTAAAGAGAGAGTACACAATTCGCCTGCCAGGCTGCTGAATGAGGAGGAGCCTATGGGGCCCTTTTGGCTTGTGAAGGAGGGTGGAGCCTCCCTCCTTCTCAGCTTCTTTTGGAACATGTGCGTCCTTGACACATCTGCAATGTTCTAATGGGAAAGACATGGAGCCAGCGTGGAGAACTTTTTATAACACAGCTACATTAAGGATAATCAGAAAAAAAGGAACACAATTAATAGCATCTGTAGATACAAAAATGCGTGTGCTGGATGGAGCAAAGTAAAAGCATCCCCTTACTGTTCAACTGAAGCCTGTCACTGCGGGTCGGTAACAGATGCTTCACTTGCCCCTGACCTTGTAACAAACAGTTCTTGCAAATCATGATGTGCCAGAACAAACGCTTTCCAAAAGCTGCGTGGCACAGTCGCGCAGGCACAGGAGTAACGTGCTGTAATAAAGATTAAACTGAACTTGCAAGGAGCAACTAGAACCCTTTTGGGGACCGCTGGAGACCTTGCTGAGCATAGGATTACAGCTGTGCCTTTTGCAGAAACACACTTACTCTGCTGCTTCCCCAGCTCCAAACACGTAGCATGCTGTCCCGACTAAGTTCACTTATCTCGCCCCAGAACTACGCAGGGGAACACTATATTTATGCACTTCTGAAAAGTATTCTGAAATTGGCAAGATATTCGCCTGTGAAATTCATACGATGTCGATGGCGTTAACCGTCAAGTTAAGAGAAGGAAACCAATCGTAGGTTTATGAAATGCCGTGTGCAAAGCTGCCCGAAACCAAGTCTTCCGCGCGAGAAGCCTCCACAAGTGGCAACTAAGCTCCCAACCCCACGTACACCCAACCCCTCGCATGCCCGCTTTATCCTCAAAATAATATTCACTCCTGTCCTCCAAAAGCTATGCCTCCATATCGGGTGAGCAAGGATGAATCTAGAGGAATTTGAATAGGAAAGACGGAAGCATCATAGCCGGGAACAATTAAAAAGCTTTTCCTTGAAGCGACGGAAAGCACATTTCCCCCTTCACGTGAAGCGTGTCCAGCGAACTTACCGGCTTCGGCATTGAGCAGGCCTCAGGGGTGATTCTGAGCTCGTCCGGGACCCCCGCCCCCTCCCCACTCCGAGCGCGTCTTCACTCCTGCTTGCCACCTCTGTAATCTCAAAGTGATGGTGAGGCACTCCTCGAACATACTCCTTGGAAGTTACATGATCGGGCAGGCTCTGCCGGCACAGCTTACAATCCGAAGGAGAAGAAAGTGAAGACGCTGGTTTCAATTAGCTGCTTGCTGCCTCTGCTGCCTGATCCCCCAGTTCCTCGCTAGTAACTGCATAACTTGTAAGAA